TCTTTGCCTCAAGTTTTTTCAAAACTCAGACAAAGAGGGGCAAACTGTAGACACCAAATTTTTGAATAATTTTATGTGGCATCTATTTCATGATTTTCATTTTAGATTGCTTGCATTCGTTGTTTACTTTTAGTTTTAATTTTTGGTTTTAGCTTTTAAGTTTAAAGTTAGCGTAGAGTTTTTAGAAAAAAAGAAAAGGAAGACATCAAAAATATGTTTTAGTCATTTTGTTTTTATTCAAAGCTTTCTTGAAAGAGAAATGAAAATGAAAAATCACAAAAAAGGAGAAAAGAAAATTAAAGAAAAAGGAAAAAATAGGCTTTAGTTGGATTGGAAAAATGAAAAAAAAGAGAAAAAGGAAAAAGGAAAATTTGTTCACAAAAATATGTTTATTTCTTTAAATTCAATCTTTGGGCACTTTAGTTATTTTTATTAAGTTATTTTGAGAAAAGAAAATGAATGAAAATGAAAAAAGAAAATGTGAAAAGATGGAAAAATGGCCATTTTTGTTGTTTTTAGTTGTTTAGTTTTTAAATTATTTTCATTATTATTACTATTATTATTACCTGGTTTTTTGTCAATTTGTTATTATTATTTATATTTTATCATTTCTGTATTTATTAAGTTTAAAAAAAAAAAAAAAAGAAATTGATTCGCGGCATGCAAGTTGCCGCGACTTGCAAAGTGAAGATTCGGGTGAGCCCCTTGGGCTGCAAATACAGGAAGAAAGGACGGAGGTTTTAGGGTTGAAGGGAGGATCATTTGATATAAATAGAAAAAGGCAAGACAGCCGCAGGGGAGGGGGATAAAAGATTGACGGCTGAAAACTGGGCAGGGGGCTACGAAGAGAGAGTGAGGGTTTGCGGCTGAAAATGGGGAGAAAACAAAGCAAAGAAAGATCAGAGATAGAGAGGTAACTACGAGCTAAGGGTGACGGGAAGAAAAGCCGAGGGTTTGGGGGGCTTCATCTGGGAGTTTGACGGTTAAGGTTGGTAAGAAAACTAGAAACCAGGAGAGATAGGGAGGTTTTGGGTTGACGTCTGCAATCTGAGAACTAGGGTATGAGAGAACCCGAGAGGAGAAATAGCAAGAGAGTTGCAGCAGAGGTGAGCGGCTGAGTTGAGCAAAAGGGGTAGGAGAGTTCCCTAGCGGCGGAGGGAAAGAAAAACAGCTTTGAGAGCTACGGGAAAAAGGCAGCAAAGAAACTAAGGCTAGGGAAACTGGCGGTGGAAGCAAGAGCTAAGGGTGACAGGGGGAAATCTGGAAAAGAAGAAAAAACAGGAGGTTTTGGGAGAGCATCGACAGGCTAAAAGAAAAACTGAAAGAGGGAAGTGAGGAGAGCTTCGGGTCAAGCCAAAAAGAAGGAGAGGAGCTGCTGGAGTTTTTTTTCCATACCCGCTGCCAACCTTTGCCGAAACAGAATCTACGGTGAAAGCTTTGCGGTAACCCTTTTCTTTATCTTCATAGCTTAAAGTTGCTGCCTTTTGTTGATTATTTTTGCATGACAAGTTCGATAGGTTTCCAAATCTGTTTGTTGTTGTTAATTTCATCCTCAAGTTGTAGTTTAGTGGTAAAGATGTTAACTTTGAAAAGAAAAATAACATTTCCTTGGCTGATTCGTTCGATTCTGCGTTTGAAGTCATGTCGGATGGTTGTTAAAGTTTCCAGTTTGTATGTGTTTCCTATTCGGATGCTCATGCTGAAATTTCAATTTCTTACGTTTGCAAAGTTTGAAGATAGCTTGAGGATTTTTTTTGCTGGCTAAATTTAAATGAGGTTTGACTGTTTTTGCGCACGAAAGGGAGTCTGCTGCAATGAAGGTTGTCGGCTCATTTGCCGCAGCCTTTCTCTTGCTTTCGGATGATGAAATTGCAGTAGCTTGATCACCTTGTTATTTGTGTAGTTGGATGTTAATTTTCAGTAGTAAAACATTCAAGTTAGGCATCCTAGCTGAAATGATAAAGCCGCGGCAATGATCCAACTAGGAAATGCAGAAATGTTTGCGATTGTTTCTGGTTTGCTTGGGTCGGATTTTAACATGAATATGTATCATTTCTGATGTATCTTGAATCTGAAAGTTTGTTGGAAATTCATGGTATGATGTTGCTGAGGTTGCCAAGATTATTTTAAAGTCGCTCTTGCTAAAACGCAGCAAGAAAGGTTGCTGAATTTCTTTTCCATTTCTCTGTCGTGTTGCCTTCTCTTTAGTTGTTAGTTGAGTCTTTACATTTCAGTTGTTGTCCTAATCTAGTGTTGGGGGAAGGAATGGAATGATTTGGTGTTGGGTATGCATGTTTGGGGACTGAAGTGTCTGAATCATGTTCGAATGCTTTGCTGAAATTTGCAACCATCTTTGTCGAACCAGTTTTGTTTTCTCTCTCAGAATTTTTGTATGATCTTTTCTGGTCATTTGGATTGTAATCATCATGTAGTTTTGTTACTCAGTTTAAGATTGTGATTTTGAAATCAAAGCTGTGCATTTGAATCAAAAACCTGGTCTGCATGATGAAAAATGGTAAGAAAGCCGTGGCTGGAAAATTGCTGCTAGTGCCATCCTATCTTTTGCTGCATTTCTATCCAGTCATTTTTGTTTAACTACATGGGTTAAGAGCTAGTGTTTGAGTTGGGAGGCTTGGATTTTATGATAGCTTGATGTTTGTTGATGCCTGCTGTTCTCGGTTGGAAATGGAATGTTGCAAAGCTGCATTTGGAAACGTAAATTGCAGCAAGCTTCCTAGCTTTGCAGAAATTCTGGCGGCATTCTTTTTTGCTGTTTTTCTTGATCTTTGACAGTCATCAACTCAGCTCTGCTGCATTAAAAGTGTGGCATTAAGTTTGGTAATGATTAGAGTTGCATCTTGAGGTTCATTTCGGTTCAAAGTTGTTTTGGTGATGCATTTCGTTGACAAATGAAGCACGGCACATCATGTAGGAAAGGAAACCAGAATTGCAGAAGTAATGAAGGCTTTTAGTTCACGTTGCATGCATGAAATAAATTTCTGAATTTGCACTTTGACCCCCCGAGTTCCCTTTTATTTCACTAGGACCCAACCAATTGAATAATTTCCTCAATCTGGTCCTTGGAAGTTTTAACTCTACAACTTCATGGCTTGTTTTGTTTCAATTAACTACCATGCTTTGTTTCAATTGCGCTTAAGTCACGACTTTAGGGGCATTATGACCAAGTGAGCTTGTGTTTGCCTATTTTCTTTAATTTTTCCAAATAAATTGGTACCTTGACCATTTCTTTTATTTTGGAGGATAAATAAGTGATTTCATTTCATTGGGCCCCAATTTCAAGGGAGGTACACTCTATCCCTCACTTGCACTTCATTTGACCCTATGTGCTCCTACGTGTTATGTGAATATGCCTGTCTACTTCGCTTTCCTTACCTCCTTGCATGCGTTTACTTACTTTTACTTTTATTTAAGTTTTTATGGGGTATGTGTACACCTCTTGGCTTGTAATAGATAGTGCTCGGAGAGCATCTGGTCCATTCACCCTTTCCCTTTTATGCTTTTATGGGGTATGTGTACACCTCTTGGCTTGTAATAGATAGCGCTCGGAGAGCATCTGGTCCATTTCCCCTTCCCCTTGGTTGCTTGTTTTTGTTGCTACATGTTTAATTGCTTTAGTAGGCTCTTGCATCTAGTCGAGCATGCTAAGTGCTACGTGCTACGTGTTTACGAGCGTTTTGGCATGTCTACTTGCTTTCATAACCATGAATGAATGGAATGGATGAATGTACGTCACCACACTAGTCCAATGCTAGTTGTGGCTCATTAGGCCATCCCTTTTTGTTAGTGCATATTTGCATGTTCACTACATGTCATGCATTTTTCTTAGTTTTATCATTTGGCATGCTCCTCGAGCCCCTTTTCCCTCATTTTAGGATTTTTTGCATCTCATGCTAGTTAGGGTACATTTGCGTGAGAGTCCCCTTAAATATGGGATATAGACGAGTGTGGCTTTTCCTAAAGCCTTAGCACGCTTGTATCCTCTCTATAAAAGGGCAAATTGAGTCACGATTTAGGTCTCCCCGTACCCAATATGCATGAATTCCCTAGGCTCATGCATTCTCAATCCACTCTATCATCACACTTTCGCTTTTGTCTCATTTGCACACATGCACCTTTTTATCACTTTCACTTGCACACGAACACTTTTTTATCTTCACTTGCACACGAACACTTTTATCTTCACTTGCACACGAACACTTTTATCTTCACTCGCACACGAGTACTTTCATCTTCATTTGCACACCGACACTTTCGCACTTTTCTTTAAATTGCATACATGCATTTTGCCCACTAGCACTTGGAGTATATTTTATACGTTCAAGGACATTTTCTTTGTACACTTCCACTCACACTATTGTTTTTATTACTTTTTCACACAAACGCACATTTTTCATGGCATGCATTCATCCACTCATTTTTTCACGTCATTTAGGTTTAGGTGTGACCTCTCCAAAAGGATCATTGTTGGGCTTCACAATTAATGTGATTGGCATCACTCAACCTTTGAAGAGAAATTTTCCCCATGTCCCCCTAGGTCTAGGTTTTTGCATTCATATAGACATATCCAAACACGCGATGCATACCTTGGGTAGAAAAATTAGGAAAAATTGGTTTAAGTCACGCAACTAGCCTTGGCTAGGTCGAAGGGGTGCCTTGGATTTTTATCCTTGCCTTCCCCTTCGTCAAATGTGACCCCCGATCCCTCTTTTGGTTACGTAGACCCAAAAGTTCTCAAAAAGGGTTTATTTACTTTTTTTATTCAAAAACAAAAATCATTTTTGGGTGACTTGGTACACCCTAACTCTATACCAAGTGGCGACTCCATTTTTGATACAAAAAACCCTTTTGAACTTCACTTGGCCAAATCGTCGCATTATAAGTCCCATGGCCTTTTACTTTTCACATTGCACACCACACACCACACAATCCACACCCACCGATTTCAAAAGTGGGGCGCGACAACCATAGCGCTTATTTATATGGGTAAAAAAAGAGATCGTGTTGAATTGCCCAAATATATAGATTGGGTAAACCAAGTGTTGGCTTCCCATCAAGCTCAAATGGTTGAAGAATTTAGGGTGTCTTTTGACTTGGACAATACCTACGCTGGAATTCTTGATTCATGGACTTGCTTTGCAGCAGCCAAGAGAGTTCATAGGCTTGAGTTGGACTTATCACCCTTTCACAGTCGTAAAACGAGTTTAGATGAGATATACTGTTTCCCTACGGACTTGGAATGGAAGGCACTGACTTCCCTTGTGCTAAATTCCGTCAATGTTGTTGAAGAACAGCTCCTGTATCTTTTGTCTGATTGTCCAGTCCTGGAGAAGTTGTCCGTTAGTCGTGCACCATCCTTGTATAATTTGAGGCTTCGATCGCCTAACAATAAATTGAAGCACTTGGGATTAATATCTTGTCTTGGTTTGGAAGCTATCGAGGTTGTTTCAGCCTTGAACCTTTTTTCTTTTGAGTATCAAGGATGCAGGATAAACATGCTCTTCAAAGACGTTCCTCAACTCTCTTCAGTTTCTCTCAAATGGGCACCTAACGTCAGCTGTGATCTTTGTGAAGATCTACTGATTACCAAATTCAGCCAGGTTCCCTTCTCCATCTCACAGCTTAAGACATTGGCTTTGGATCTGAAATTACTGGTTGCTATGGAATTTTACCTGTTTCCCAAGACCTTTTCGCAGTTTAGCAATCTTCAACAACTGGAATTGCAATTTTTTGCACTATACGAGCAAAGCATCCTTTTTCTCTGTTCATTTATTCACGCATCTCCGAGTTTGCATAAACTGGTGCTCAAGTACACTGTCTGCTGGGAGTCAACGGAGCTGTCAATGAATCGAGAGTTTTGGGACGATATGCTCAAATTTGGGGATACAACACGGCAATGGGTCGAAGGACAGAAGTACAACTGCCTGACGGAGGTGGAATTTTTGGGTTGGATTGGGTTGAAGAGTGATGTTGAGTTTGTCATGCACTTGATAGAGGCTGCAGGTCCTTCCCTGGAGAGCTTAACTCTGGACACTCGAGATCCGAGTCGAGTTGGGAGATGGAAGGAATTACCGCTGCCTCGGCTTGAACAAATGGCCAAGAAGGTGAAGTATAATCTGCCTGGGCATCCATGTGAAATTGCCACCAAGGAGGCCGCTAGGAATGGTGCCAGAATCGTGGAAACTAAATTATCTCCCCGGACAAAATTGGTGCTCTTGTAAATTCTGATGCGCGCTATAAGTGGTATTATATGAAAATTTTTTGGGAGGTTGCTAGTTATTTATGTAATTAAATTAGATGGAGCTAGCTGTGCTACACACAGCCCGTGCGCACTTCAAATATATTGATTGATTCTACAGTTTCTTGGAAATAATTTTCAATGTTAATAATAGTAATTATTTTTATTATGTCATCGTCAGTGTTCAAATGCAAAGCCATGATCTCAAATGAGAAAATGCAAACAATATGTTAGACGTGATGTATTGATCATTCCAGGTTCATTAATGGAGCCTAGTGATTGGTCAGCGTGACAATATGATGAGCCAAATTGGACATCTAAGTAGTTTCTCTGTCTCCGTTAAAGGGTACTTAGTTTCTGCTTCTCCAATTTACATGTAGTTCACAATTTCTTATCCAGCCTTTGATCTTTAAGCAGAGGATTCAGCCCAATACCTTGCCCCCCTCAAATCACTCATATTTTTTTATCTTCTGCGATAGAATTACACTTTCAAGATTCAAGTTATTTTACATATACGTCATTTCCGTAGATGCTATGTGGCTGGGGTTTTCCAGCATAGCTGTTGCTCTGTCAAAATCTTGAGAGAAACCTTTAAGGGAATCTCATTGATGCACATTACTGTCCTTCTGTAGTAACCTAATGCTATTTACTTTTTTTTTCGACAAACGATATTAGCTTTTATAAATATTAACACTTGATACTATAAGAATTACTTACAAAAGGGGCAGCAGCTCTTTCATCTAATCTATTGGCTTCTATCAGTCAACATGGAAAGTCACCTTCCTAATCTATGTCATTAACAAGCTTTGATGCAAAAAGTGCTAGCCTATGACTTGCTATATTCAATGTTCTGGGCACCCAAGATATTGTGCAGTAGTCAAAAACCTGTATTAGATCCGCAATGTCTTCCAAGATGTTTGCTAGAGTCCCATCTTGTACATTGTTGCATCTAATGTGATCTGTGGCCATCTTGCAATCTGATAGGATGGCTATCTTCCTCCAGCCTGCTTCACGTGCCATTTGGAGAGCTAATCTAATGGTTAATGTTTCTTCCATTAGAGTTTCACCTTTCTTCCATTCTACTACTCCTTTAGCTCCTATTATCTTTCCTGTCCAATGCCGTGCCACGATTCCTTTTCCTGTTCTTATCATCCTTGCGTTGAGTGCTGCATCTGTACTGATTCGGATGACTCCTTCAGCTCGTGGTACCATCACCTGTTCCATCTGACTCCCAACCCGTTCATTCTTTTTGATCGCCCCTTCCTGCTGCAGCACATCCTCGTACTCGAGCCATTCTTGTTGTGCTTTCTGGACTATATCATTTGCTCCACTCCTTTGCTGTTAAAAAACCACCTTGTTCCGTGCTTTCCAGATCTGCCATAGAATATTTGTTGTCAAAACTATATGTTCCATCCCTAGCTCCTTTGAACCTAGCTCCTTTGAACCTGTCTGAACAACCGTCTCCCACCATCTCCACAAATTGCTCTGTAAGTCTCTCAGCTCCTCCCATCTAACCGGTGCTAATTTCTACACTAGTTGTGCTATTGGGCAGTTGAAAAACATGTGTTCAGCTGTTTCTTCACCTTCCCCACAAACTGTACAGACCTTATCCCCTTTTCCAGTTCTTTTGTAGATAGCATCATTCACAGCTATACCATTCTGCAACGAAGGAAAGAAAAAACAGGGGAGCTGGGGAAGAAATCTGAAAAAAAAAAGATGACTTAAAAAAAGAAAAGCAGGGAAGATTGAGAGAGGACTTCGGAGAGAAAACAGAGCAAGGGAAAAAAACCAAGAAAAGAAAAGGTTTTGCTGCTGGGGTTGGAAAAAAAGAGGCTACGAGAGCTGGTGGTGGAGCTTTGGAGGGAAGAGGAGAAAACCAAGTGTGGGTTTGGAAAGAAAAACTAGAGAGAAGGAACGGTGGCTGGGGGAAATACAAAGAAAGGAAAAAGCAAAAGAGGGAGCTAGGGGAAGAGCTTCGGGAAACTGGAGAGCTTTCGGGCAGAGTGAGGAAGAGAAGAGGGCAACGGAAAAATTGGGAGAGAGCTTCAGAGGACAGAACAGAAAAAGGAAGGAAATCTGGAATTTTGGGGGGGGGCGAAATTTGGGGACTAAACGAGAGAGACTGAGGAACAAGGGAGAAAAATCTGAAAACGAAGGGTCCGTTTGTTTCGGGTGAAAATGTTTTCCAGGAAAATATTTTCCTAATTTTCCGTGTTTGGTTGCACAAAAGTTACTGAAAACATTTTCCTATATAAAATATTTTCACTCATCTTATGGAAAACAACTTCCCTTCCAAACTTACTGAAGTTGTTTTCCGAAATGCATGCATCCCGCCTGTAATATGTTCCAAACTTACTGAAAACATCTTGTAGTATGTTCTTTTTTTTTTTAGTGTAAACAGGAGGACTCGAACCCAAGACCTCTGCCTTACACTTCCTCCCCCATACCACTCAACCCTCCCCCTAGTATATTCAAAATAAAAAAAAAATCTCATCCTGCTCATCCTATGCTAATAATTAATTATGTATAATAGGGACATTCTTTTCTAGAGAAACTTTCAGCAGTAAGAGTGTAAGATATATGTCACAATAAGCATTGCATGTGATTGATATTTGACACTAAATGGCCAGCAATTTGTTTATTACTTAAGGAGATATTTTTTATTCATATATACATTTCTCCAAGATTTTTTAAAGTTAAACAATGAGATAAATTTTCTCATGGGAAGAAATATGTAGTTATAATGTGTAGAAAGTAAAGATAGAGATAAAAGTGAAAATATTTCAAAAGTTAAACAAACACCAGAAAAATGAAGTAAGAAAATATTTTCAATAAACTAACAAACACCAGAAAAATGAAGTAAGAAAATATTTTCAATAAACTAACAAAACACCTAAAAATGATGAAAGGGAAATGATTTTCATGGAAAATTACTTCCACGAAAAATATTTTTCCAAGGAAAACATTTTACTTTCAACCAAACAGACCCTAAGTTTTCGGCTAAGGAAAAAGGGAAGAAAAACCAGAGAGCAAGGAGAAAAAAAAAACAGAGGAAAACAGGCGGAGGACAAAAGGGTAGAGAAAAATGGGCAAGAAAGATCCTACGGGAAAAAAACTAAGGCTTTGGGGCTGAGAAGAAATGGAGCGAAGAAGCCGCTGGAATTGCCGCACTTGCGAGGAGCCGCCACCACCTCATCGGAATCCGCCATCATCGCCGTCAATCATCACCTCCAGAGCTTTGTAAGCTATCTTCTCCCTTCAAATTTCAATTTTTTTTTAAGCATAGACGCTTGAAGCTCTCTGTTGTGTTTTTTATCGCAATTTCTTGGTGGATTTGCCTATGTTTTCAGAAAGATTACTGCTTGATTTGTTGATTGGGTTGAAATTTCTGGTTTTGCTGTCAATTTTGGGGCCAACTGAGACCTCATTTGAGTAGGGAATCGTTGAAATTTTCATACCCGTTCAGTGTTTGATAAAATGCCCGTACGGAAATCTTGAACCAAAAAAGGAGATTTGTGCTTTTTCTGTTCAAGAGGTACTCTGGCCAGTCCAAAGCTGGCCAGAATCCGTGCGTTTGCTAGTTGGGAAGAGGAAGAGTAGCCATGAACTTTTGAAATTGATTTCGTCCATTTTTGCGGTTCTTGTATCTTGCAATGGTGTTGTGTTTTGCCGTGTAAAGCTGCTGAATCTTGCATGTTCAGAAGTGGCAGGAAGTAGAATGAAGAAGAAAGCTTCGATTCTGATTTGCATGATCTTTTTGAAATTTCGTTTTGGTCCTTCAACTTTTGCATAATTTTACTATGGCCCGAATACTTCTGCAATTGAACCCTTTGTGCCCCTATTGAGATCTAATCCTCTTTTTCATATTTCAAATCCATTTTTGAGCAAATAATGTCTGGAACTTAGAGTATAATCAGTTTTCAATAAATTTTAGTAGATTTTTATATTGTTGGGTTTAGTATAAATAGTTGGAGGGTTGGATTGAGGTTTGTTTGGTTGGGTTTTGGTATAAAAAACTGGGCTATTTTGCTTGGGTTTTAGAAATGAGTTGTTGGCTTATTTTCTGGATTTTTGACTTGGTCTTAGGATATTGACATCTAACACTTTTGGTTGGGTTTTGATTAATTTTTTGGGTTTTAAATTTGGGTTCAATTGGTCAAAACAATTAGGCTAGCCCATCTGTTTTGCTTGGGTTTCGGTTGGGCTAGGAGGGTTTTTGGCCCAAACAAATAAAGAAAAGGGCCCAATGGCCTATTAAGTCAAGGAGTCTGGTGACGATTTTTCATTTCAGCCCTCCAACTTTTGAGTATTTTCACTATGGCCCTAAAAACTTTCAATTTCTTTCAATGGGTTCTTAATTTAATTGCAAATAGGTCATTAAACTTTATTTTTTTAATTTTTGACCTTGGATCTTTGTGATAATTATAATTTAACCTCCAAAACTTTATTATTTTTTGTAATTAAGTCCTTGATTGTTTTAATTTCTTAAAAGTAGGTTGTTTCCATGATTCAATTGATTCAATTTCATGTTTGTTTCCATTTTTTATGATTATTTGTTAATTAAAATGATGCCTTGATTTTTTTTTTGTTTTTGGAGGATAAATATGTAATTTCGTTTCATTAGGGCACCAATTCAAGGGAGGTACACTCTATCTCTTATTTTGACTTTAATTTGATCCTATGTGCCCTATGCGACTTTATGTGCTTAATTGCATGCTTTTTGAATGATTTCATTTTATTTATTTATTCGCTTTATTTGTTTTAATTTGGTATATTTATTTTAGTTTAATTTTGATTATTTGGGAAGGCAATTAAATGCCAAAGTTGTAATAGTTAGGTTAATATTTTATTTATTTATTTATTCCTTCCTCCCTTAGATTGTAGTAGGGCCTCCCTAATGTAATAGTTAGGGTTTTATTTGCTTTATTTGTCTTGTATGTTTTTGCATGCATATGTGTTACGTGTTTATCGCTTTTCTAGGAT